TACAGCGGGTCAACAAAGAAATTATGATACAAACAAGAAAATATATATCGTAAACGTGTTCAGTGTTGTGAGATAGTTTATCCCTATCATACAAATTGAATTGGAATGTACAGTATCTTGTAAGAGTTATTGATTTCTCATAAGACCAATAACCTTATCTTCCGATTAAAGTCTTACTGCCATTTAAACAAATAATCCTCTGGACAGTCAACAAGGTTTTAAAACATATCGTTATAAGTAAATCAAAAATATGTGCGTTTAACTTTATGTTGGGTTTTTTAATTATTATTATTTATTAAAATAATTATATCTTATTTTGTGCACATGCTGCATAGTTTTTCAAAATGTTTGTTGTGTATATGTGTGCTGTTTCATTGACGTAAACCAACATTTTGTTATTTGTTTCTATCGGAATTTATATACTCATATGAGCACAATATCCCATCAACAGATGAAAGAGGAGCACTTATTCTTGGGTAGATCTGCATAGTCCGATAGAATCTTGCTACTATAGAACGTTAACTATAGAACGTTAAGATATTGGGTTTAAAACGTAGTAAAGTTCAACTTTTTAACAATTGAATAGAAAGAATTTCAAAACATGCGGAATGAATTTGCACTTTCTATAAGATGATGGATTTTTTTAATCGGTTCAAACTTTCTTGAAAAAAATCTCTTCTCCTTTTTTTTACTTTGTGTTTATCTTTTTAAATAAATGAAAGAAATGTAACATGAAAAAGGCTGTATTCTTACTACGTAAATTCCATGAGTCTGCAGTTCTATTTCTGTTTTCCTTCTTTTTATTATCTTGTATAATACAAACTAAGTGTTGTCAAACCATACACTCAAAGCCTGCACTTCTTCAAATGTTCAAATATTTATCTAACTCAAGGTTTTTGGTAACGGCTCATTTATCGCACTGCACGTGTTACATAATTCTTCAAATATCTGGAATCATGAATGGTGGTATAAAAATAATTCATCATTTTGTATTACTTTAAAAGCAGGTTGATTCAATGAGATACATGTCAGATTTGAATAAGATTACTTTTCTAATCAATTTAAAACCTCTTCATGTCATAAAATTCTTAAATTATATAGATTATCATATGAATGGAATATAAAAGACTTTTTATGTTCCGTGGTATCAACATCTTCTTTTATGCTTAATGCAATAAATATACATTTTAACTATATGAAATAAACTTACAGTGTTGATAAAGAATAAATTGTTTAACACCTTGAGGTAGTTTTTGTATCTTTGAAATTACTATGCAATGTGCTTTCTGTAGATATTTATACATTTATTGCCAAAAACTTGCAAAAACGATTTTCAAAAAAATATGCGATAAGAAAAAAAATAAACAAAATAAAAACAGTTTATTTACAATTAAGAAAAAACTCAAAAGTAAATAGATAAATTGTATAAATTACAACTAGTGAAATGCCGCGATAACAATGGAACAGAAAAAAGAAAAAGAAAAGAAAACGCTTACAGATGGAAGAAATATAAGGGTGATATCAAGTGTTAATAAAAGCTTTGGATTGTCTGCTTTGTATTCGGTGCCATATGTTAAAAGACCTTAATGTGTCCAATTTAATTAGATATATTAATTTGACACGTCTTGTGATATCTAAACGTGTTTAATGTTAACACTAAAATTATTTCCGTACTCCATGTATACCTTACAACAAAATTATTTTTATTTACCTGTGTACGTTATTTTATTTGTTGGCATTTTGTCCAAGGTTAGGGTTGTCATTCTGATATTTTTTTTCATCTAACCCCCTTGTTTTATTAATTTTGTATTTACATTGTGTCATAGATCAAATTTATTCGTTCAGTGTATGTTCACTTGTTTTTATTAATATGTCTTTTGATTGAGTTAAGCCGATATTTTATAGTGTGTCTTTCTATGTTGTGATGTTACACTATTGTTTCAGGTAGGGTGAAGGTTGGCGCCTATTAAAACGTTTAAACCCGCTGCATTTGTTTGCACCTGTCCTTAGTCAGGAACCTGATGTTCAGTGGTTGTCGTTTGTTGATGTGGTTCATACATGTTTCTCGTTTCTCGTTTTTTATATAGATTAGACCGTTGGTTTTCCTGTTTGAATGGTTTTACACTAGTCATTTTTGGGGCCCTTTATAGCTTGCTGTTCGGTGTGAGCCAAGGCTCCGTGTTGAAGGCCGTACTTTGACCTATAATGGTTTACTTTTACAAATTGTGACTTGGATGGAGAGTTGTCTCATTGGCACTCATACCACATCTTCTTATATCTAACCATACAAAGGCAATGAATGCATTCTACCATAAAAAGGGAGAGTCATTCTCTACCAGGTAATTGTTTCGCATCAGGATGCCAAGCTATTTGTTTCATACGATATACACGCCATCTTAAAATCATTACATAACAAAAGTTAGTTCGGTTTGGTTTCCTGATAATGTTGCTTAGATTCTATTGGCTTAAATGAGTTATATAAATCATTTCGTAACAAAAGTTAGTTCGGATTGGTTTCCTGATAATGTTGCTTAGATTCTATTGGCTTAAATGAGTTATATAATTTGGGATGCCTTACGACAAGTAGAAGAAATTATAAACGGAAGATCAGAATCAGGGTTGAATTAATTAACAGTATGGGTCTTCGAGCCCGATCGAAGAATCATGGCGCTTTAGGTGTCAGACCACAAAGTTCACCCACTCCATTTTAGAATGTATGTAAAAGTAGCCCTTCCCTAACATAATAATGCTTTTGATGTCATTGTTTACTTAAACTAACCAACACATTTGCAGAAATGAAACTGTTGGTGAAAGAGAAATATATTTAGACCATTTTGACTTCTCCATGAGTTTGCATTACAAATTGAGTATTATTGCGCTCCATAGTATACTTATCTAAGATTTCTAGAAAACTAGGGTTTTTTTTAGTAGTACAATGTAGTTACCTTCGGAACATTGGTATTTCACTACATCACTTTATAAACATTGGTTGAAAATTGGCATGTAGAATGGTGATACATGTACAATTCAATTTATACCTGGTTTCTATGAAGTTAAACTTAAGGTAAAATATTTAAAAAAGCTGTGAAATATGAAAAATTTGGTTGAATAGAGAGGGATTTTTGAATTGGTGGTCTTACACCTATATGATTGAGTCGGATACACAATGTTGGAAAAGCAGATGTAAGTGTAAATTAATAGTTTTATTATTGCGCATTCCAATTGCTTAATCCGTTATGTATACACGATTCGTTTTACTCACATAGATTCCTATGTATGATCAAGGATTTGTTTAGTACTGATGAATTTACTCAGTGCTAACCTATGTAATTAGCAGAGATTTATATGTTTTAAGTAATTTGTTAGTCTATCAAAGTATACAATTTAGAAAGTATGAGTCCAGAACGTGCACTTAAAAGAAGTCAGTACAACAAAACAACACGTAAATTTGAACATCAACAGTGTTTTGATGTAATCTACGGAACACACACCAATTCTTGTGTTACTCTCGCTGTGAACATGAACTGACGATGAACCTGAGAGTCTCACTTTTACCTGAAACAATTTAAATCATAATAGAGAGTAAAAAAATTTTTAGAATTCACGGTATCGAGTGTCAGTCTAATCATAACCTCGTAGATTTTATGATTATTTTGTCTACTATTGCAACGGTTTTATTTTTTATTTCACAGTCTATCCTAATTTGTGACCGTTAAAACGGAAGATGTCCATCTGAGCTTAACGAGCTGTTCCCTGTTAGGTCTCACTTTGTGTCATATAACTAATGAAAATTTAAATGAAACCCAAATAATTTTTCCGACAATGAAAAAAAATAATATATCAAACTAATAAACACGTATGAAATAAGAAAAAAATAAATCTCCCTCTTTTAACAAAAATTGCACAAATACAAAAACAAAAGCTGACATAATTTGTGATACTGCGAAGCAACCCTTACCTTTTTTAAAAGGTTACACTGCCTGTAAGGTTGTATCTGCTCAGTGGAAATGGAATGAAAAATAAAAGTTTTTTTAATTTTTTTCTATGTTTTGTATTTCATATACATACTTTTTAATTTTAATTATTAATGTTTTGTTCTGTTTGTTGATAATCCAGAGTTTTTAAAAAAAACTTAGACTCTTTTAGGCATCACAAAACCTTATGAATCGGTAACAATACTTATTTACTGTTACTTGACCTAACACACTTCTAGTAGCCTTATAATTAGATAATAGCCTATTTTGTCTATATTTTATGTCAGCTTTTTGTACTACTGTGATCATTTGCAGATTGTTCTCATGTTTGGCTGTCATTGTCGGACTTTTCATCGGAAATGAAGTATCACTGTTACTGATTAATGTGTCTAAGTTTAACAAATATTCGTTAGAATGTGTTAACTAGGTCAGAATATATTTTCAAATATCCCTAAGACATCAGATAAATAACAAAGTTCCATCCATTACTTCGACGAAAGGTATATTTGAATTATTTCGATTGCAAAGGTCGTGACTATCTTTGTTTATAATGAAAGGTAAATAGAGTTCCGAACGGTATATATAGCTCGAAAACAACATTGTATATTTCTTTGTGGTTTTTATTCTATTTTATCATTTTTTTTTTCTTAAATTTGTGTTTATCTATATGTTAAAAAATCTTTATTGTAAAATAAACAGTAATCGTTCAAGTCATTTATTTATTTATTAAAATGAACTCACGAATTAAACTTCTGTCTATACTGTAGATTAAAATGAAAATAAACATTTCCTATCTGTGGAACTTAAAGATATTGCGAAAAGATGCGAACTTTGCTTATATAATATATGTATCTAAAGACGTTCCCTTTTAAATTCCATATATTGAATTAAAATCTATAGTTGCATAGCATTAATAAATTAATGCAGGCAAAAGTAAAGGTTTAGATTATTTATTGGCGGTTATGTTTGTGATTTTATTTATATTTTCAATATAAAGGAATAACATTCTTTTTCTTCTATTTCCAGGATTACCAAACACTTCTATTGTTAATGATGAAGAACGCCTTATCAAAACATTGATGAATGACTACGATCCTAGAATAAGACCAGTGAACGCATCGAAGAGTCCAACAATAGTCGCTCTGGGATTATCCATCACAGAGATAGTAGAACTTGTAAGTCTACAAGTCATGATGCGGTTTCGTATGCTGTTATTATTAAATTGTTTTGCCTGAATTCAAGATACATGTATATTAAAGTAAGGTTACATTATCCATGGTCTGAAATTATACATTTGTTCCTTCAATCAAACATCCTGGATCATACAGCTAAGATGTACTATGACAGATTAGGAAATTGAAAAAAAAATTAACACAAGCTACAAGACTATTATAAATGTACATAGAAATGCTAACATAGACAAAAATATAATCAGCTGAAAAGACAGTGCCAAGAATTGTTAACATAGAGGGAATCATATCAAAAGAATTTAAATGAAGACACTTTACTTTTCAGTGCAATGTTTTGATGTGTATAGGAGTATGCCATCATGAAAAAGGGACATATTAATATGATAAGGCAAATATTTTTGCCAACTGAAACCGTTTTTTTTTTGCAGTGAAAATCTAAAGTTCCGAAGTCAATAATGTTTTTTTTAGACATTTTAGAATTCGGGGATGAACCAAATTCGGTGATAGTCATAAACGGGAAATAGGGCGGACGGAATGTTTGCTATGAATCCGAAATCAATAAAAAGCCATCTACCAAGAACACTCTGTGTTCAGAAAGCCTTTGTCAGAATTTACCCCGATGAATTAATATTTATCAAAAGAAGGTATAAGGAAGTTAACGAGAATTGTAGTTGAAGGAGAAAAGTAATTATATATGCACATACATCTTAAAGTGAAATAATTCTAAAACTCGTAATATTTTCAACAAAACACATTATTAGAGACATTTTAGCAATTGGGTTTGAGCAAAATCAATACTTTTGAATTAGAAGGAGAATAATGGTAGCAATGTTTCAATTATCTATAATGAAATTACTCTAAATTATTACCACGGTATCAGGTTGAGAGACGGAACAAGTAAATCGAATTCCAACTATTGCTCTAAGTCCTTTATCCTGTTCCTTCATAATTGAATATTTCTTAATGAAAGGAAAAGATAAAAAAGAATGTAAAGTTTTAAACTAGATTAAAAACAAAAGAGATAAACATTAAAGAAGATAACACAACGACACCTGGCCATATATAGATATACTAAAATTAAAGAAATATTAATTACTATATTTGATCAGAGATATTGCCAATGCAGATTATCAATTAATAAAGTGTATTGTAAATAAAGGGCTACGTTTACAACTCGTTGATCCATTTAGAATACACAAGCCCAGAAAAATAACCTGATGGAATCGCATGAACTCTAAACAGAGCGCGACCAGGTGCGTTAACAGGGTAGCGTTTCTTTGTATTTCAACAATTTTTAACCTGATTTCCAAAGGAAAATATCGGTTATTAATTTGGTGATATATGGCAGAAGGGCGGACGGCTGCCAAACAGTGTCCGTGCAATAACTTGAAAACGCTTTGACGAAATCTTTTCAAATTTAGAGATGTTGTTTCCTGTGACTAAATAAAGGTCAAGTGCGATTTCCACGATTTTAGATTTTATCGTTGTTGAGTTGTAGACCTTTAAGTAGCGTAAAGTGATACTTAGAGCGTTGTCCGTGTTATAACTTGAAAACGCTTTGACGAAATCTTTCCAAAAATTAGATATGTCGTTTTCGGTGACTAAAAGAAGGTCAAATTCGGATTTTAAGATTTTAGCTTCTATCGTTGATGAGTTAGAGACCTTTAAGTAGCGTAAAGGGATACTTAGAGCGTTGTCCGTGCAATAACTTGGCAATCATACCACATCTCCCTTTTTAATATGCATCAACCGCTAGTACGCAAAAGTTAAAATAACAGATTAGACGACAATAATGGTGTGTGAAGAAGATATAAATTAAGGGCAACCATAGTTTATCGATGTCCAAATCTTGTAAATTCATTAAGAAAAAACAATTCAAGATAAAAAGAAAACACGAGGGAATTGCATGAACTCTAAATGGAGCAAAACCAGGTGCGCCGACTGGATAAGACCGCGATTTGAGACACAGACACATCGTATCTACAGCTTACCAATTCTTGTGTCAATTTCAGTCGTTCTTGCGTACTGTAACAGTGGTGGACCCAGGGGTGGGGTGGGGGGGGGGGGGGTCTGGGGATTGGAACATCCACTCTTTGTTTGACAACTGACGATTTTGTATGAGGACATATGGTTGGAACCCCCTTTTTATATGACTTGCATGTGTTGGAACCCCCCCCACCTTCTCTTTTAAAAATGGCTGAATTCGCGCCTGCGTATGAGAAATGTAAACACACAAGTAGCATTATAACCATAAAAAAACTCATCATAAATACCAGGATTGAAATTTTGTACGCCAGACGCACGTTTCGTCTACAAAAGACTCAACAGTGACGCTCGCATCATAAAAATTAAAAAGGCCAAATAAAAGACGAAGTTGAAAAGCATTGACGACCTAAAATTCCTAAAAGTTTTGCCAAATACAGCTAAGGTAATATATTCCTGTTGCAGAAAAACTTTAGTATTTCGAAAAATGCAAAGTTTTGTAAACAGTTAATTTATATTTGTTACCATATCAATGATAATTCATGTCAACACAAAAGTGATGACTTCTGGTCTGGTGGTACCCTAGGCGGAGAAAAACTCCACCAGCAGTGGCATCGACATCATAAATACAAGGATTGAAATTTTATACGCCAGACGCGCGTTTCGTCTACAAAAGACTCATCAGTGACGCTCGAATAAAAAAAGTTAAAAAAGGCCAAATAAAATACGAAGTTGAAGAGCATCGAAGACCCAAAATTCCTAATAAATATTGTTTAAGATATAAAACAGTCTTCTTTGTCCCTAACTGCAGATAGTGTATTAAAAAGCAATATAAATACTTCTGCATATTCTATCAGTTTCAATGTTTTACCATAGATTGTATCAGATTCATCTCAAAACAACCGACAAACGTTTATCTATGATTCTTCAGATAACTATAATAATCTTTATCTTTTTTGATGTTAAAGTTTCATTTTACTATAACTGTATCAAACATTCTTCTTTTCCTAGCATGAAAAAGGTGAAATACTCGAGACCACTGCCTATGTTCGTCAAATGTGGGAAGATTCACGCTTGAAATGGGATCCAAATCAATTCTCAGGGACTATGGCTGTCCATCTACCAGCGTCATCAGTGTGGAAGCCAGATGTTGTGCTACTTAATAAGTAAGATTGTAGTTTAGTCGCATGGAAAGTCCCCAATGGACTTCGCACAAACAGCAATAAACGAATCAGTCATTTTTATTTTTATACGATTGTACAACACCATGTTGTTTTGCATCGCTGCGACTGCATGAAAAATTAGTAGTTATTTTTATGTGCATGACAGTGCTACGTTTTGGGTCATTTGCTTCGCAGTCCTTTAGTTGATGTGCACTTGCCACGTGGGGAAAATGAAACTACGCAGGGAAATTGTGTTGTTTTATTAAAGATAATCCCTAGTTCACTCAAAGAAACAGGGTTGAGATGTCATGTGCATGGATAGATATGATTTATATATTAAATGAGAAAACTTTAAAGTGTTTGATAACCGCATTTCGTACGAGTATTGCCGTTTGAACGCCTATGTCGATAATTTTTCATTATTGTCAGATTTACGTAAGTTCAATCATCAATCTGGAAAGATGATAAACTTTTTAACGATGATCTGTGGAATTGTTATACAGATATCTCAGCTTACCACTGAAACTTTTAGATTAAATCTTTGAATCCTTTTTACCATGATATGATAAACGTTACCCAGGAGAAATTGTTTAAAGAAAATCTGATAAACGGATTGATGGTACTGAATCACTTATAAGCATCATCAAAATGTTTAAAGAAAAAAAATACAGTATATGAAAGGGTGAACAGTTTGTTTTGGAGTCAGTTTGAAACGTGTCCGATTTAATTCATAAGTGTAATACCCCTTTAATGTGATTTCTGAAACGTCAATGATTATGATTGCAGTGCTATATCTTTGTAAAAAGTTAACAGATTGATCTTATCTGTTTAAATATCATCCAAGAATTTATACCAAATGAAAGAAAATGCTATTTGTCATTTATGTTATATATGTTAATCGCAAGAATAATAGTTAGCTTTGACCCAATTAAATAAACTCATCATATATATAGTATAGCATTTTTATTATGGTAATAAAACATTATAAGGTTAACAGGATCTTAACATTGTATACTGCAAGTATAAGATACAATACAAAGGTAACAAAGAAACAGGCCGGTAACAACCGTTGCCGGATAGTTTTTCTGCACGAGTAGTCAGGTGTAGGTCCGAGGTGGTAGCCGAGGACCTTGACCTGACTACAAGTGCAGAAGAACTATACGGCAGTTTGTTTCCGGCCTGTTTTTTGTTACCTCTGTTTTGTATCTGACTTGTACGACGTTTCAAGAAAGAAGTAGTACATTTTGCCTTTAGAAGAGGTAGCAAAATTAAACAGATTAGAAACTTAAATTGCCATATAGCAGTTAATGTAAGTTACAGTTTAAACAAACCTTTTTTTCACTTCCCTTCAGCCGACAGTTTTTTTTTCTCAAGAAATTCAAGAATCTAATAATTTTATGAAAAAGAACCATGTCAAGTAAACGTTGAATGTCGTACACATTTGAGACTTTTTAAAGTGCAACTTCACAAGTAAGTAATGTATGAAAAAGATTTCAGAGGTAAGCAAGCTAACATTTGATTTTTTTGAGGGGGAAACGGAAAAGGGGGGGGGGTAAAATAAATTTAAAATAAACAGGCTTGATCCTTTTTTTGTTATAAAATGCAGGATGTGCCATTCTATTCCCCCATTTCCCTTTGAAAAATAATAAAAATCGTACGTTTGCTCCCAAATATATGAATTCAATATATATGAATTCAATATACATGTTTATGAATTCAATAACAATATAAATGTATAAAAAGAATGAATTTCCTATTTCATTAGTGAATGAAATGTTTTGAAAAAATGGATTTTGTCTTGTTATTTGATATATATAGGCATATATTTTGGATTATTTTTAAAATGTTCATGTTTATAAGTTTTTATATGTCTCTAATAGTTTTGATCAGGATTAAACACGTGTCACAATATGATCCAATCGCAGCTTACCGTCCAAAATTGGTGACATAAGTTGAATGGTTTTCTTCAAGATTTATTGCCTATTTGAACATGTATTACACGGACACTTTTTTTTATAGGACCAATCGTGCATTGGTGAGTTAATACGGATTTTATCTTTTGATTAGATTTAATTTTTTTATATATATTTCCTGTCTTTTTTATTGAATTATAAACGTCGGTACTAGCCTTTCTTTCAGCATGTCCAGAATACTATTCATGTCCATATATTGGAAAACAATACATTTACGGACCGACCATTCAGCTTCAAAAGGGGGTATGTTTTTTCCGAGTAAGAATTTTTTTTTTCGAAATTAGCACTATTATATACGGTATTCGGAAAATCAGGAATCAGAACATTATTTTGTCATCTGCCTGACCACAATATATTTTTTCTCATAAAATTGGGGATCAGAATATTTTTTAGGAAAAAACCGTAACCCTCCTTTTGAAGTTAAATGGTCAATCCCTTAGTGTACTGCTATTAATAGTAAAATACTGGAATTGTTTGAAAAAAATATAGTTATTGATGCCAACGTAAATATTCTAATATAAAACACAGGAAATATTTCGGTGAAACAAACAGTTCAAATCTAATTGAAATTTGAAGTGCCCATGAACTCACTTATCATGCACGAGTGATTCTATTCATAAAAAGTGTCCGTGTAACAACTAAAAAAAGTCCGTGTATCATCTAAAAAGTGTCCGTGTAACACCCGTTAATGTACTGTTTTTCTATAGTTCTCCTGGAAGCAAAGTCGTACAATCGACCATATCAAATGCCTCTTGCACTGAAATGTACGTTCACCCAACGAAATACACATGGATGAGATAGCATAATTTGGTAAAGACACAAAATATTAAATTGTCACATTCTTTACCAAAACCAATATTCTATCGGTAACAATATTTTTTTATTAAATACAATCTCCTTTAAGGTCAAGGTTCACAGATTTTGGTAAAATTTTGTTTGCAACTTTGGAGCGTTGAACTATACCTGAAAATCGAAAACATAATTCATTTATCTCATTCATTTTCTGAAATATTTCTGATTAAATTCTTTAAAAATAGGTGAACATTTGTATAGAAATCACATGGAATCGTCGAAAAACGTTCTTGAATTTGTCTTAAAATCATCAAATTTCCGATTTCAAGCAGGTGACGGAAGCTTGTCCTTGATCAGTAGGGGAACTTGACCTTCCGTAGCACATCGCGCATCGGTTCAATCCTGTTTTGGTGGGATTCACACAGTTCAATCTTTAGTGTTCTGTTTAAAATAAAATTGAGAATGGAAACGGGGAATGTGTCAAAGAGACAACAACCAGACCAAAGAGCAGAAAACAGCCCAAGGCCACTAATGGGTCTTCTATACAGCGAGAAAATTCCGCACCCGGAAGCGGGCTTCAGCTGTTCCCTAAACAATAATGTATACTAGTTCAGCGAAAAATGGACGCCACACTAAACTCCGAAACATTTAAATGATCCCAAAATTAAAAAAAAAAAAAACATACAAGACCAAGGATGGAGGTTTCTGACTTAGAACAGGCGCAAAAATGCGGAGGGGTTAAACATGTTTTGTGAGATCTCAACCTTCCCCCTATTCCACTAGCCAATGTAGAATAAACCAACACATAGCAATACGCACAGTAAAACTCAGTTTAAAAGAAGTCCGAGTCCGATGTTAGAATAGGTAACGGAAGAAACTAAACAAAATGACAATGATCAACATAGATAAAGAAAGGACTACTAGCAGTTACTGACATCCCAGCTTCAGACCTCAATGAAACTGATTGAAAGATTATGTCTTCATCATATGAAAATCAAGCACAATCCCGTCCGTTGTTTAGTATCATACCATCATAAAATGTAAGAGAAGAACATAACCCATATCATGCCAACAACTGGTTTCAGAATAAATGTGATTATTTCCTATGTAAAGACCCTATGAGTGAAGCTTGTCAATACCAGTTACTTCGGTGAAAATGTACATACATCCGGCATATTATGCAATAACGGACGCCATGTGTAAATATAGCACTCTGCTGTTATCCTAATATATATTTATATAAGTATATTTTTTTCAATTGTTTAAATCAATTGTAAAAACTCGGTGTCAATTAAGTCGGGGAACTGCAGAGTGTTTCTGTTTCTGACTTCTAAATATGCGCTTTCGTAGACACAGAGCCACCGCCTTTAGAACCCTTTCAATTTTTTTAAACAAAGCACTATATTAGCTTGCTTTCGACTTCACATTTTGTTCAGAAGAAGTTGAATAGACATATATATATACTTATAAATTTAAGTATAAAACTTGACGCTACTCTTCATTCTTTGTTGACATATTTGTTTGTTTTTTTATAGTAATTAAGATTATAACACAATTTTTTACTGCTGTATTTTTGACATTTTTACCTATTATGTCTATTTGTTTTGTTCACACATTGTTGTCAATTTTATGCAACTGTAATACATGTTAGAAGTTAAGCTAGCTATAAAACTAGGTTTAATCCACCATTTTCTACATATGGAAATACCTGTCCCAAGTCAGGAATATGACAGTTGTTTTCCATTCGTTTGATGTGTTTGAGCTTTTGATTTTGCCATTTGATAAGGGACTTTCCATTTTGAATTTTCCTTGGAGTTCGGTATTTTTGTTATTTTACTTTTTTTTCAGTGCATTTTATGTTTGTTAATTTCAATTGCTTGAAAACTCATCTAAGATACCAGGCTTATAATTTTGTACCCAAGACACGGCTTACGTCTGCAAAAGACTCATCAGTGACGCTCGAATCAAACAAATTAACAGGCCAAATAATGTCCGAAGCTGATAAACAGAGAAGGATTGAAAAGCTTATGAAATTGTTACAAAAAGAACAATGTGTTTGGTTCATTTAACACACCTTCGTAATACACACTAGCAAATCATAACATTTGTTATCTTATCAAATGTACATTTCTTTCATTAAGTGTATATTATTTACGAGTTTGTTTGTTAGACATCATATTCCTTCAGAGGTAAAATCATAGGTTTGCCTTTCAAAATGGCCTGTGCAATGACAAATGA